CACAGAGCTGGCCATTTTTTTTTTTTTTTGGTTGCAGGCACCATTGTTGTTTGGCGGGCCCGGGCTGGGGATTCGAACCCACCACCTTAGGTATATGTGGCTGGCGCCTTAGCCGCTTGAGCCACAGGCGCTGAGCCTAAACCTATTTTTTATTAGAATTAATTTCATCTTTTCATTTTCACCTTTTAAAAATATGGCTGTTTTAAAATTTAAGAACATATATGTGGTTTTCTTTTGTGGCTTCTATTTTATTTCTATTAGACTGCTGCGCTTTAAAGCACCAAAATGTTGCACACACCTATTATTGCTCAAATGAGATTTCTAAAAAGAGAATTTTTAAAAGAGAAAACAATAACACTTTAGCTTTCACTTACAAAAACCTCCCTGGCTATGAAGAAAGAATCAAGGCTAACAATGCTAGAACAAGGCAGAAAGAAAACAGGAAGTTGGGAGAATAGGAAACACATGACTGAATTCAGGGAGAAGAAATGCCAGTCCTGATATAAAAAAGTTTTGTTGGTAAAATGACTTCCAATAAAATGTTTGCCTCTAATGATAGAACTCTTCTAAAACCACAAATTATTCTTTTTATAATCATATCCTTTTAATACATACTCTTTTTTTTTTTTTTTTTTTTTTTGCAGTTTTTGGCTGGGGCCAAGTTTGAACCCACCACCTCCAGTATATGGGGCCGGTGCCCTAATCTTTTGAGCCATAGGCACTGCCCAATACATACATTCTTTATGCAATGCCATTCTAGGTAGGGATATCTCACCTAAAAGCCTTCCTTAGTATTTTCCTAGTTTTTATGCTAGAAAATGCCCTCCACATCAATGTGATAATCATTGCCTTATTCTATTTCTGTTCAAAGCCTCCACAGTGGTTCAAATGAGGATGCATTTTGGAGCAGAGGTGATCTCAGCTTTAGTGATTATCTTTCAAGCAATATTTATTATGGTGACTGGACTGATCATCCCCTGACCCTTCTGAAAAAGTAAAAAAAAAAAACCAACAAAACTTTATTGAAATTCATATGAAGGTACAATTTTTCAGTTACATTGTTCTCACTTCCAGGGTAAAGTTCCATTTGTGGAAGAGCCCCTCACCCAGGGGGCTGTTATACACTCTCACAATGTGCACATTAGGTGAGATCCTGCCTCATGCCCTCCCTCCTCCTGCTACTTTTATCATTAGGAAGAATTTACATCTTCTCTGGTTGAAGTTGGATGATTAGCTTATTCCTTATTTCTAACATTTGTGCTTTCTGCTTTATCATTGTAGACCATTTGTCACTTGTGATTTTTTACTTTGCCATGAGGTATGAAAAACAATTACGGTATTTATTGACAGAGTAGTTGGGAGGTAGAGGAAACAATCCAGGTTGGGAGTGAGTGCTTTATTTATGGTAATCAAAAGAGATAGTAGAAGGAAAAGAAATGGGGGATGTTAAAAAGTGTGTCAGAACCGATAAAAAGTAGGGGTCCTTTGAACTACTGACAGTATTAAAAGATGATTTGGGAAAAGGGTTGTCAAAGCTTTCACTCTTAACATTTTTCCAACCTTGTATCAGGTTGGTGTTAGAGCCAAACACTTAATAATCACATTAGGAAAGAATGATTTGGCATCTAGGTCACTGATTAGCAAATAGTAAGTACCCCATCCAGTTTGTTGAATGAGAAAAATCCATGACTTATGGTTTTGTTTATACTTCTGAAGTTGCACTTTTTAGCACAAGGTACTGTGGCTTATGTAATGATATGGCTGGCTACTTTAACAAGATAGTAATATTTCCTTTGTTCTGCTGCCGTAGCTGTTTTTTCTTCCCTTTCTCAAGCTAAGAGTGTAGCCAGATCTTGGTATTTTATTTTATCTTATCTATTTTATTTTATTTAAGCCTAGGTGGCTTTTGTGTTGCAGCAGGAAGCAGAAGTTGCCAGGCAAGAATAACTTCTCAGTCTTTTGTTCGTAATAGCCTTGGCTCAGTGAGAATCATGTAGAAAGCAGGTATGTTGAAGGTAAGTTCTTGGTGTTTACCAGGTGGAAGCTGTGGGACCTAAGGGGAAAGGAAGATTCCTGAGGCTAAGAGATGGAGTGGGGTTCTGGGGGACTTGGAGGGCAGGTTCCATGCTGAGCAAAGGTATCATCCCAGGATTGGACAATCCCAGACTGGTAAACTTCAACAGTATATTCTTGGGAATATAGATGCCCTCTGCCTACCTTCAGAAGACTGTGCAGGAATGGACAGTGAACTTTTCAGAGACCAGTGTGGAGAGAAGTCTAGGGGACCCTTCTTCGACCCCTCCCACCAAGTATAAGCATATTCTGGGACCTTTAGGAGAATCTGGAAAGATGGAGAACCCTACTGAGGAGTGAGAATGAATTTCCCACCAACTGTATGGTTAGGGGTTCAGAGGAGAATAAAATGTGTAAATTTCAGGCTTATCTCCATGGTAGCATCCTTGACAGAGTTTTCTTGGGCAATGACTCATCCATAGCATAAAATGAAAAAAAAATCCTGTTCATGAGAATTAGATGTGACTTCTATGTTTATCCAATCCAGGTTCTTCATTTTTAGCTTAGGAAACCAAGGCTTCAGATAGAAAAGAATTTGTTCCAAGTGGTAGGTCGAAAGGCAGTGCTGAGCTGAGACACTGGGTAGCCAATCCTCAGTCCACTTTCCTTTCTACCTCAGCACTTGTGAAATTCAGATATGTTTATGGTCATTAAATACATTATCATTTCATCATGGCCATGAATGGTGCTCATCAAAGTAAGGTCTTATGATTTTAAAATTAAATAAAGAAATCAAGACTATATAAATATCTAGCTGTGATAGATCCATGGTTACATGGATTTTTCCAGTCATTCCCCCTTCTAGAAATTGTGGGAAAATTACCTGTCACACCTCAAATGATTGATAGTATTGTTTTTGAGAATTAAATACCTCTCCTGAAGGTATTTTAAATAAGGCAATGTGGGCATATGTGTCTTAGTATACAGACACAAACAGAGATCTGTTAACTATCAAATACTGGGCAGGAATTTCTTTTCGTGTGTGTGTGTGTGTGTGTGTGCACGCACGCGCACATACAGGCATAAACCTACTTAATAGCTAAGGAAAAAGTTCATAATTTCTGATTGGGTCTTATTTTTTAAGCATCATCCTGTATCATAATACTCCTATTGTAACCTTCCACATTATCCAGTTTTCCCTAATCTGTCTTTGTTCATCTTCTCACTCTTTGTTGTTTGCAGACAAAAGCTGGTTGAAGTTTGGTTTCTTATTTCTCTCTGGACATCTGTGTCAGAGAACACAACTGTTGTTGGTGGAAGAGCCTCTTCCTAGCCAGGTGAGCAGCCTGCGCTATCCTGCAATGGTGAGAAGACCTAACTAAGTAACCTGGGTGTTCATTCATTGGTCAGTCCACCAATTCATGGGTTGCTGTGAGTTCAGACCCGGCACTAGGCAGGTACAAAAGGAATAGCTTAGGCATGGCAAAGCCCCCACGGCAAGTCTGTCCTTCTGATGCTGCATCACTGAGAGATGCTGTGTCATATGAGGCTGGCCCGGCTTGTCTCCTCTTGTTCAGCCATCTGTTCAGATGTTCCCATAGTATTCTCTCTGCCAGCAGGGCCCGTGGCGAATAATCACAAACAGTAGCACCACCAAGACAGCAGATACCAGGCAAAAGACAACAGCAAGGACAATCTTTAGAACTGTGGACAAATAGGAAAAGTATTAATGTAAAATTAATTTATTAGGAAAATATGAATGAGTGTCGATTTCTGCCTTAGTTGCAAATCTCAGAGGGGCTTCTAAAGTAGCCTTGAAATCAGTAGAGTGTGGTTAAAAAAAATGCACAGGATTAGGAGTCAGGAAATGACTTAAGTTCCAATTCTAGCATGACCTTTGATCTTTGGGCCTTAGCTCTCCACTGTACAGGAAAGGTAATTGACTGAAGCATTTCTAAGGTCCTCTTACAGTGCTAACTTTATGCATTTCTATACAGTTAAATTAACAATTGGTCATGATGTCAGGGTCAAAGGAAATTCTAAATACTCAACTGCAATCAATTAGACCTAAAAGAAATGAAATCTTTCAAGTTTTCAGTTTGATTTTCAGGTAAATATGTTTTGGAGAAGAAACCTTGAGCTCACGTGGACCATGGGAAACATTTTTAGTGTAACTGTGTACGATTGCTAATATGGACCTTTATTTACACACATTCCCACTGCCCCTCCTTTTTTTTTTTTGACAGAGACTTGCTCTGTTGCCAGAGCTAGAGTGCAGTGGTGTCATTATAGTTCCACTGCAACCCCCAACTCCTGGGTTTAAGCAATTCTCCTACGTCAGGCTCCTCACTAGCTAGGTATAGACACAAGCCTGGCTAACATTTTCCTTTTCTTGTATTCTTTTCCTTGCTTTTTTCTTTTCTGTAAAGATGGGGTCTTGCGTTTGCTCAGGCTGGTCTTGAACTCCTCACCTCAAGCTATCTTCCTACCTCAGCTTCCCAAGTATATACACATCCCTTTGATAGCTGACCAATCATGAAGCAGATGTATGGGGTCATTTCTGTATGACATGCTAATTTATTACTTCATCTGGAAAGTTACCCTCTTTCCAGAGTATAGGTACTCACACACATATCCTAGTCCACTATAGTATACCCATCATAAATAACCAGTTTGTACTCAGAATATATATATCTTTTTTTTGGCCGGGGCTGGGTTTGAATCCGCCACCTCCAGCATATGGGGCTGGCACCCTACCCTCTTGAGCCACAGGTGCCGCCTGGAATATATATCTTTTCCTTGTAAAACTACAGAGTTGCATGTTGAGTTAGGCAGTGAGAGAGCAAACATCTCTCTATCCTGTCATCTCTTTCTACAGATCCCTGGTGATTCATGGGACATACGTGAAAATCACTGGTTTAGCCTAACATTGTCATTGTAAGAACGAGGAAAATAAGCAGCAGAGAGATTAGATAAATTGGTTAAGGTTAAGCAGATGATTGTAGTGGGCTTAGAATACATGGAATCTTATCAGGTTTATGTTTAGAAAATCATCTATCCACTAGTAGGTTCTAAGTTTAAATCTTTAGCCCTGATCTCTATCTCAAATTTAAGACTCCTATCCAGCTGTGTACTTGACATATTCTATTTGATAGAAAATAGGTATTTCAATCTTAGTGAGTCCAAAACTGCACTCCCAATCCCTCCATCTTCCCTCCTCACACCAAATCTGTCCTTCTCACACCCTCCCCCCATCTCAGGTGAATGGAAACTCCTTCTTCTGTAGCCTCAGGACAAATCCCTTCGCGTCTTCCTTGACTCCTTTCTTTCTCTCACATCCCATTCCCTAATCTGTTAGAAAATCCTGTTAGTGCTACCAAAAGATATCTCCCCAAACCAATGACTTTTCCTCTTCTCTGCCACCACTTTGCCTTGAACCACCATCATCTTTTGCCAGGATCACTATAATGGCCTTGTGACTTATCCCCTAGTTCCTTTCTCCTTCATAATCTATTTTCAACACAGCAGCAAAAGTCACTTATCTGTTTAAGAACAACATCTGCAATAAATGCTCATACCAATCAGAATAAATCTCAGTCCTGAGTCCTGAGGCTCTACGTCATGTGGCCCCCACGAAACTCTCAGATTTCTTCTCCTATCATTCTCCCTTCATTCGGTATCTTTTGGCCACATCGTCCTTCTGCAGTTTTTCAAATGTGACAAGCACTCTCTGCTGTAGTGACCATTGCCTGAAAGCTCTTCCCACAGATCCCTGGATTAGGTCACTCCTTTACTTTTTTTGTTAAAACTCATCTTCTCAGTAAAACCTTCCCACTTAAAAGTGCAACTTGTCCATCTTCCTCCACTCCCCCCACAATGTGGACCTTGTGGTCCTCATCTTCCAAAGTACTTAATTATTTTGTTTATTATTTGTTATCTTCCCCTCTCTCCCACTAATGGAATATTAGCTACATGAAGACAGGAACCTTTGTCTTTTTAGTTCACGAATGTATACCAAGCTCTTAGAACATTATCTGGCATGCACATATAAATAACACACACACACACACACACACACATATATAAAATAGTAGAGCCTCCATAGTTGACCACTACCCTGCATTGACCACCTCTTTAAGCTGACCTAATTTCCACAGACCAGGCATGAACTACATGAATGTGTCAGTACGGGAGGCCTAGTTCCTTATGTTGACCAGTTTGTTAGAGTCCCCTGGGTGGTCAACTTGCAGAGCTTCTACTGTAGTTCCCAAATCTTAGTTCAGTGTTTTTCTCTTGATGCCAGGATGCTTCTTATCATCATCTTGTGATTAATCATCATCCGGTGATTATTAATGAAGTTATACCCTGAGGGATAGTGTCATTAGAATGCAGATGGGGTTAGTATAAGTTGGAGTGAACCACTGTACTTTGCCGTGTATAATGTGCTCCCGTGTATAATGTGCACCTATGTTTTGGCCCAAACTTTCAGGAAAAAAACAAACAAACAACTTTTGTTTTAATTTTTTAATTTGAATTTTTATTTGCTTATATTAGGTACTTTTTATAATGAAGGATTTTTAGCATTTATTTTTTAACATATTAAGTACAAGAATTTTTATGTAATAAATAATTAGAAAACAAGAACAAATATAAGGTACAAGAAAATTTATATACCAGTAACAAATTTACAATATCTATGCATCTAAGAGCTCTTCATCACTGTCAATAGCAGAAGTATCATCTTCAATTTTTACATTACCAGTGTCTTGTGAAGAGTCACTTTCTTCATTCCAGTAAATTTCATCATCCTTAGTTCTATCCATAGTATTGCTTATATTGCATTTTAAAAACAACTTCAGAACCATTTCCTTCTTGACACCATTGCACAATCTTTGGATCTAATCAGAAACCTGAGTGATGTGTGCTTTCTTGATTCTGCCAATAAGTGTTAAATTATGACCAGCTGCCTAAATCCACAATGTCTGCTTTGTCTTCATTAGGGCGTTAGAGGCCTCATTTAGTGACACATCAAGGTTATAGTTGGCTAGCTAGCCCACCAAATATCATAGAAAGTTGCTGCAATGACTCTTGCACTTGCACTTTGTGTAACATGGGCTTTTATGTTACCAAAAACAAGGAAAGCTGTTTTTTAAGTAATTCTCCAGGCCTTTGTGACCAGACTTTGTTAAACAGATTTTCATGCCTTCTTCATGTATCTATCCTTTTTCATGAATGTGGATGATAACTCCACTTGGAATCTTTTCTTTTGGAAATGTTTTTCTTTTTGCTTTTTTTTTGCAGTTTTGGCTGGGGCCAGGCTTGAACCTGCTACCCCTGATAGATGGGGCCAGCACTCTACTCCTTGAGCCACAAGCACCACCCCGAAAACATTTTTCTTTTAAAGATGATCATAGGTGGTAGCTTTGTCCCATCTGCACAACAGGCTAGAATAAAACAGTGAAATGTGTTTTCTCAAGGCCACTAGTTTAACAGCCATGGTCTTTGCTCTTTTGATGTCTACAGTTCTGTTGGATGGAATATCAGATGTCAGTGGGAATTCATCCATGTTGGCAATTTGGGACAGCTCAAAGTCAAATCTTTCAAAGATTGATAACATGAGAATGAAATCCCAAAATTTGATTCTCAAAGACAGCTGGAAGTTTGGGGGCAAGTTTTGTTCATGTATTTAGGCTCAAACCTTTACTCTTCATAAAGTTAAAACACGATTTTAGTGTCCCTGAGAAATTATATTGTTTTCATGCAATCCCTTTTCCTTCTTCTTATCATCTTGGTTGAAACAGAGATCCCAGTTTGAAGTTGCTCCAGAATCCTGGTCTTCACCTCCTGCTCCACCTCTGGACACTCTGGAGGCTTCCCTTGCATTGCCTTCTGTTTGGCATCTGAGGAAGCTTTTCTTCCTGTGGCCTCCACAATCTCCTGACACTCTCTGTGGGAGGACGTCCACCGTGTTTTTTCACAGCTCTGTTGCCATGCTCCTTATCATATGTAATAACTGCTATTTTAACATTATAGTATATGAAAACCATTTCAACATTTTACAAGGGATTTTCCAATAATTTTTATAAATTTATCAGCTAGATTGTTGGCTCCTGCCTAATGTGTATAAAGAGAAATATTCTTTGTTGGTAGAAAATGTTTCCGCTGCAAGTTTGTCATAAGTTCAGCAAAACTGATTACTGTATTCCAGGGTATTATTTTGCACACAGACATTGTTACTGCTTGCTAGAATTACACTTTTAATGCATAAGCATAAATAAAAGAGTTAAAAACATTTATATAGATACAGAATTAGTATTACCCATGTATAATATATATCCTTAAGTTTCCCTCAAAAATTTGGGCAAAAATGTGTGCATTATATGTAGGAACTTATGGTAAATAAAATTGAGGAAGGAAAGAAAAGATGAAATAGAAATGAGAGTGGAAGGGGGGTACTAATTACTCTTACAAATCTATTTTCACAGCTGATTTTTTCTTGCCATTTATCCTTCCTACTTTCCTCCCTAGATGTGCAGTGAGCATACATGTGCCAGGCAGGCTGTGCTAAGGGCGGAGGTTCCATAATCTCTGCTCTTAAGGGGCTCAACGTCTAGTGGGAGAACCAGATAGATAATTATGAGATAATGTAGTAAATACAAAAATGGAGGTATAAAAGATAGGCCTTTGGAACAAAGAGGAAGTTA